AATGGTAGCCGTAATTTCTACCTATGGAGTATTTCATTACACGTAGAAGAACGCGTTGAAAACTACAGAATACACAGAAAAAGTAAAACACGTGAAGGACGAACACAGACACACACAGTCCTTCCAAAGAACTGTCTGTGTCTGTGTTCGTCCTTCGCGTGTTTTATTCTTTCGGTGTATTCTGGAGTATTTCAAGTGAAAGAGGTACTGAAAAGGTAGTAACGGCCATATAGATGTAGAAACTGCTGTAGTTCCTTTTTATTTAGTGTTCTTTAAGAGTGCATGATTAGGACTCGTGAATTCATTTTTGTTCTATCAAAGCCACGAATTAATTAAATCAAGTAATCCAATCCACTGATGAAAAGCATATTTTCTTGACAAGACGTTGCAGGAACACCCGTTCACTGAACAAGTTTCCGCGATATGTCAAAGCATCAACAATGTATGCCCATGAATCTCGTGTCGATGAAAATGTATCAGGAAGCGTGTTTCCACGAAACGATACGGATGCCTCTCGCCGGCAGCCTAAAACTTTTTTGCCAAGGCTTCGCCTCTAAAGGGCGTGCCTGCGACCCGCAACATCTTTGTGCATCAGTTTGATTGTCGACTGGTACGGGTCCCTCAAGCGTCGGCTATTGTTTAACCGTTTAGCCTTCATGTTTACATCTCCTTTGTCCCCGTCCGGCGTATTTCTTTATTCATCCATTCTCCTTTCGGCCTAGAGAACTTACAGAGGGGAAGGGGCTATGTAACAACTCTAAGCGTAGCTCAATTCAAACGCTTTGCAAATAGTCAGGAGGCAAATATCAAAACTGAAATTCACCGAGGAAATTCACGGGAATCGAGGAGTCTTTTTTTTTTAGAAGGGCAATTACTCTGGTATTTTTGAAGAGCTTCTTGACCGGCTTCCCGTATTCGAGTGTCTTTCTGAGGAATATGATGTCCATAATTTTGTGGGGTGCTTTGAAGAAAATGTTGCTTCATATAACAGATAAATGTGTTCCTTGCGTAGATTATGAAAAGCTAGAAGATGAAGGAAACCATGGGTAACTTCAAGTACTCTTAGGATATTTAAGAAGCGAAGGAGAGCATTTGATAGATTTAAGAAGACAAAAAGTAATAATCCCTTTGAAAAACTGGTTGAGCTTACGCGTGAATATAAACTGAGCATGAAGAGTGGAAAGGAACAATACTTTAATACACTAAACGACAGTATAAAAATCGAACCCAAGCTTTTCTGGAAGTATTTAAAGAGATAAGGGGCACACACAGTTGGAATAAGTGAAATTACATATCATCAATTACAGTTTCGAATGATACAAAAAAAGCAATGTGCCTAAATAATTACTTTCGGTCTGTATTTTTGCCCAAACAGAAATATGTTGATCCCACCTACTGTTAGCACGGAGGAATTAATGCAACCAGTTGAACTTAGCGTGATACGTATTAAGACGGCGTTAAAAAACATAGATGAGACACAAGCAACTGGACCGGATGGCATTTCTCCGCGTGTACTAAAGCGCTGTGCTTACCCAATTTCGGTCAACCTTTATTTAATTTATTCTAAGTCACTAGACACAGGACTTTTGCCTGATTACTGGCAGGTAGCTCATGTCGTCCCTATCAATAAAGGCGGGTAAAGAAAGATGTTATAAATTATAGGCCCATTTCATTAACTTCCGTCTCATGCAAAGTCACCGAACATATTTTGTATTCAGAGTTAATCGGTGATATGATAACAAACAACTTACTGGTTGAAGAACAACATGGTTTTCGTAAGGGGTCTTCTTGTACTACGCAACATGTTGAATTTTATTATGATCTTACATCGGATGTTGACGAGGGAGGGCAAATAGATTGTATATTCTTGGATTTTCGAAAGGCGCTCGACACTGTTTCACACTCACTCCTTAATAAACTGAGAATATTAAACCTAGACTCGGCAGTGCTTTGATGGATGGAAAATTACTTGTTCCAGCGTCGTCAATGTGTAGTACTGAACGGCAAGAAATCCGATTATGTTAATGTAACATCAGAAGTTCCACAGGGCTCCGTCCTGGGTCCACTTTTGTTTTTAATTTATATTTATGATATTTATTTTAGAATTACCGCTTGTACTTGGTTGCCCGCCGATGATTGTGCAGTGTATGGAAAGATTAAGAGTTCAGATGATGCCAGCCAGTTGCAAGTAGGCCTTAATCATATTCATAGTTGGTGCTCTACGTGGAAAATCAAATCAAATGAGTTTATTTCCACCGTGTAACAATACAAATGGAGGGGCTGGGGAAAAAAAGCTGCGCTTAGCAGCTTGACGAGTCCACAGTCCCTGTATTAATGGCAACTAAGCAGCACTACAGTGGGAAGAATGAACATGCATAAAAAGGATAATGACAACGAAAACACAAAGGTATACAGGCGTACAAAACAAAAATCATACTCCCATGGTTACAGACCTTGCACGGAGTTCACTGTACTTACAGGCGAATAAATCAAAATGCATAAGCTGATAAGCGTTTATTAATGACGGAAGTGTATAACAAAGGCATTCTTTTCTGCAGTTTAAACGAGGTGTAGGTACTACCCAATTCTCTCCATGTCTTGTAGTATATAGTTCAATTCTCTTTTTGTAGCTGTGCCAGATTACGTATATTATTTATATTTTTCCGTGTTTCCCATTATACCGTACACTCAATCGATATTTATATTGTTTGTATGCTGGGATCACGTGGGAACAATAAAAAAGTTTACACATGGCGCTCTTTAGGGCGCGTTGTAAATATGTCGAAGACATTTTTTTTTGTACCAAATAAACACAAAAAAAATAAAAGTGTGTTAATCTTTGTTTTACAAAGAAAAAGAAAAAAATCAGTCTCAGTATTTTATGAATATTAACCCTATAACGAAGGAGCTTACGTAGAAATATGTAGGTGTCATATTGTCATCAAATGTTCGTGGAATGCCCACATAGAAGAAGCAGTTCTAAAAGCTGGCAGGGCAATGAATTTCACTCAACGTAACTTAAAATGGTCACAACCTAACCTAAAGACAACTGCTTATTTAACATGTGTTAGACCCATTTGAAAGTATGCATTCGCTTTCAGAGACCCAGCCCAGAAAACGTTGATTGATATGCTGGACAAAATACAAAACAGGGCGGCTAGGTTCGTTGTCGGACGATGCGGGAGAAAAAAAAGCTGTACAGAAATAAATTAAAAAAAAAAAGTTAAACTGGGAATAACTTTCCGTGCGTCGGAGAAAACTGCGTCTAAAATTTTTATTCTCAATAGCTAAAAACAAAACAAGAATAACTAGCAAGACTTACTTAAAACAACCCTATTATGTCTCTAGTCGTAATGATCATAGTCTTAAAATTAGAGAGTACCGCGCTAGGACATGCATGTTTGGGAATTCCTTTTTTGTTCGAACGATTGTACAGTGGAATTGTCTGTCTGATGAGCAATGGTGCTGTTTGAATGAAGATGTGTTCTTTTCATCCTTGTAAACCCCCCTGCTGTAACGGCCTTGGCCACTGCGGAGTAATTATTCAATAAATAATAAGAGGCCCAAGAACTCGCGCAAGATGTAATTCAGCTGTATGGTGGACCTTTGGCTTCAAGAATGATCACCAGTTTCGCTATGCGTATAACATCCAAAATGTGTCAACTTTAATGCCAGTAAATCAACAATGTCAACTGTGAAGCTTCGAAGAACCATGCTCGCCAACAGCGTTAGGAACGCGACCAAACTGTAGCGACACTGGCTAGGTAAGAAATCTTTGGCTATCCCGAATCCCTAGAGAGCAGCGTGAAGCAGAAATTGGGTTGCCGCGTGAACGTTCGGCTGCCTTCCTTCTCACTGATTGGAGAGGAGTTACCTGTCGCTGCCGCGCCGCGTTTACACTCGCGGATTCGCGGGCAGATCCGCGCAGGTGGAACGTGGAGTTTGGAGCCGGGTGGCAAAACTGACTCGTCGCTGGCAGAAAATCTGGGTATGGGTCCCGGACTTTTCGCCAGTGACGAGTCGATTTTGCCACTCGGCTTCAAAATGTACTTTTTGCCTGCGCGTCTCTGCCCACGAATCCGCAAGGGATTGGCATCTATTCAAGCATGTGACATATGTGCGCCAGTAACTTGACTTCAGCCCAAGTCTACACGCAGCCGGCGCTTATGGAACCAATGAAGCGGAATTAAATGCGCAAGTTTATGTTTATGATTTGTTCACCGGTGATTCCAGAAACACCAAGATGGTGCGTTTTTCGCGCTTTTTCATTGCTGCCATTAGCTTGCAGACTTAAACGTGAAACAAAGTATAGACACACGCGGTTTTCTTTCTGACTCACAAACTATCCGCCGGTTTGCGCGGTAGAAAGAGAGATAGGTTTGGGTAAACAGACGCCAGTGTTTCACACGAATGTCACCTCGGAGAGTTCCTCGCTCACGGCGCATGGTAAGTCGCGGCCAAAGCAGCTGGGTTTACTTTTACGAGCCGGCTTATGTGAAACAACAAGCCCCAAAGGGTAAACGACAATAATCCCCGGAGAAGAGAAACAAGGGAGACAAACACAAATCTCCAAACGCAGCTAGCTGACTGGTGCGCTTAAAAGATCCGTCTGGTCTTGGTATCGAAACAGGGACCTCTCCATTTTCAGTGGAGCACTCTACGAACTCAGTTAACAGGGAGTTAGTCGTCAGTAGAGCAAACGGCTTTTATCAACCGCCGCCAGCCTAACACCAGCGAGGATAAAAGGCCCGCATTTTTACCTAGCCAGGAAAGATTGTTATCGTTCATATACTGTCCAGCTCGCCCGCACCTTCGCATTAATTACACTAACATCGTAACCCCAAAAGGGTCACGCCGTGGTCGTCCCCAGCTTGCGAAATAGCGGGACTTTCAAATAGACCAATCAGGGCCTCGAATTTTCTTCGTGCTTTTACACCCCGAGGAAGTTCCACTACTAGTCGTTGCGACGTGTCCTTAGAGCAGTCTTGTGCGTCTCGCAGCGCAGCCCTGGTTCTCTGGCCTGTTCGTGGCGGGGCTGGCCTCCCTGAGCCCGGTGTGGGTCCTGCTGGCCAGGGGACACCCAACCTCCAGGAAGGTGCTCCGGGTCGGATGGTGGCCCATCATCGTCGCCATGGCCATATCCAGGTAGATTCCTACACCAACGCACCTGCGTCTCTTGAGTCGCACACCGGTAGATTGTCCTGTTCCTCGGTGGCGCGCTTATCTTTTTGGGATTCTTACATGTACTTTATTTGCTCCTTCAAGTGTCGAGTGATTGCAACTTGAGACTTCTGACTTGAATATGTTCTATGGTTTTTGCAAAGTCCACGCGCGATGGCATCTCTCGGCTCGAGCGCGTAGATGCCATTTGCCACCGAAAGCTCCGAAGTATATGCTTGCTTAGCCAGGTGCCTCCGACTCTGAATGTCTCCACCCTGAGAAAGACGGACATAGAATGACTCAAAAGTTTATTAGAAAACATTGAGCGTTTCGTCTACAGGTAGGAACAAATATGCCAATGCACGACCCGGATAAGGGGTATGGACAGTGTTGTAGGCGTTACCGGAAAAAAGTAAAGAAATACGTGACTTCTTACAAGTACGCGTTACCGTCCTTCTTTACCTCAAAATAAAAAAAAAACGCTTTACCGTTACCGTTACCGATAAAAGTAACACACTTTACTTTTGCGTTACTTTTAATTCGTGAACTAACTCGTTTTCCTTTTCTGACGTTGCAGGTGTGCGTAAGGGCCACATTTTAGGTATCTTAAGAATCATTATGTACATGCAGAAACTCAACATAATTACCTGATTTTTGTTTACCGGTTTCACCTAAATACTTACAAACAATCGAGAGAACAAAAACACAAAACTTGGCGTCTAGAAACACGAAGAAAAAGAAATTAAGTGTAATGTTCATAAGTCTTGGAAGGAATACATAACGAGGAACGTAACTACGTTACAAGTCACTCAAAATAAGTGACGTGAGTACGTAACCCGTTATAGATTTAAAAATATAACAAGTTTTTTACCCCAAAAAAGTTACCGGTAACGCCATTACTTGTAACGCCTTACCGCCAACACTGGGTATGGGTTACAACACGGGAAAGGTATCCTGAATGCCCGCGCCAACCGTCGCCTCCTGGGCCCCCAATGCGAACGCTTGGCGAAGAAGTCGGCGAGAAACCTGGCGGCCGTGACTGGCCGACGCCGCGCCTGGCCTTGGCGCCGGCCCATCATCGCCGCCGGATTTCCTGCCTTTCGCCACGTGTCCAGATCAGGGTCCTTGCTTAGAGACAAAATTCGGACAGGAAGAAAGGAAGGGAGGAAAATGTACACGGGATAGTTTGAATAGTTTGGCCGCCTCTACGGAATTCTGCTGGCAAGAGTCATTCCGTGCTCTCAAGACGCTTGTTTTTTCAGCGCTTTCTCGTGGCATGTGTTTCTCCCATTTGCGAATTCGCAAGGGCAACTCCACTCGGGGCTTAAAAAAATGAAGTACGGACTTGGCGCCGTCTTAATCCAAAAGAGTGACGGCGCATAGGCCAGTCGTACTTTCTCCAATGCGGTAATGAGTTACTTAGTTACAGAAAACAAAATTAGAGGAGGACGCTTAACCTTTGCTATATGAGTAGAACGCGATAGCTAAACATAAACACCCTCTCGTACCCAAGACGCCCAAGCGTGTCTGCGTGGATTATGGAATAATGAAGAAAAAAAGTGTCGGTGTGACCTAGTCGGTAGCCTGTCTAGATCTCAACCGAAGCGTCGTGGGTTCAATCCCACTCCACCTAAAATTCTGATTTTATTTTTTTAAGGCAAATAAATTACTTATCGACCAATCAGAATTTTCCCGCCCTACCGACGCCGACAATGACGCCGGCTGTACTGCAACTCGAGCTCCTTAAAGCTATCGCTTCAAAATGTCCCGCCTTCCTTTGGGCAATCAGAAAATTTAGATTTTACAGTTTTGGCCTTGTGTTTAAGGTTGTTGTAATTACCACGCCTTGTGCTGGATATAAAACTTTAAAAAATTCTTCTGGACGCCTTTAAATCATAATCACAAAAACTACAAAAATACAATGTGTACATTTTTGTCAGTCCGGCAAGAAATACAAAGCACTTGAGTAATTATCTCGGAACCCACTTTCGGTGTGCTCGGACCCTCTCATACTTGCCGTTGCCGTTATTGCCTTGACATCTACGTTGGATTTCACTATTAAGCAACAAAAATACCTAAACATTCAACAAAACCGACCTCACCCGGAACGAACAACCACATGCCGGAATCCATAGAATACAAAACAACATGTTATATCATCGTAACTATGGTCCACCAGACCCAGTTCTGCTATTGGTTGTTCCCGAACATCTGCGCAACGACATTTAACATGCCAGTCATGACGACCTCACGCTTGGACACGTCGGATTTCTTAATACGTAAGCACGTATTCGCAATACTTTTACAGGCACGACATGTACCATCACGTCCTAAAGTATGTGGCATAGTGCAGCAATTCTCAACGTAAAAAAAAAACAAAAAAAAAAAACGACAATCGTTTCAGTTGGATTTTGTCATCCTCTTCACCCGCTCGAACAGCTAGCAATCGATCGTTTGGTACCTCTTCCCCGTAACGGTAACCACCGGATTATTTCTATCATGGTCTACATGTCCCGCTATGTACAAACGTCTGCCTTGTAACCTGACAACCCTGACGATGTCGCCAATTTTTTTCTTCACAACATAATGTTGCGACACGGTTCACATCGCGAGCTCGTCAGCGATCGCGCCACCATTTTTCTCTCTTATGCGATGCAGTAACTCTTATACGTTTGCGCAACTGTGCACCCTCCGGCAATATGAAAGACCCACTGGGAGCGCGTGGCCGAGGCGGTGGATGGCGGGGGCGCTGCGAGCGCTCCGGGGAATTCCATTCTGCTTCGAGGGGAGGACGCTCACTCGGGCTCAGCTAAAGCGAAACGCGCTTATCAGATTGTGCTGAGCCCCGAGTGAGCGTCCTCCCCTCGAAGCAGAATGGAATTGCCCGGAGCGCTCTCAGAGCCCCCGCCAGCCACCGCCTCGGCCACGCGCTCCCTGCGGGTCTTTCATATTGCCGGAGAGTGTACATACCTAAAATAATACTAATAATAATAGTGACTTTTATTTACCCTTTTTAAAATTTCTCGCATACAGCTTTTTTTTTTCTTTTTCAATTTGTTCAGAAAAATATTTTACTCGACTTCAGGGTTAGTTTTATTAGCATTATTGGCCTAATTTTCATTGCCCACGCACTCACGAAATCTTTCAAGACCATAAGGTGTAATGTTTTGAAATTCACTGACGTACTTTTTATTCTTTTTATGGCAACGTTTACCTCTTATGCATAAGAATATCGGAAAGTGGTCGCATACATTATTATTCGAAATTCCGCTCATCACACAAGTCTTTTCAACAGAATACACAGAACGAATAAAACACGTAAAGGACTCAGGTAGATACACACTGCTCTTTGAATATGAAATGAAATGACTGTGTGTGTCTGTGTTCGCCTTTTACGTGTTTTATTCTTTCTGTGTATTCTGTAGTTTTTCAACGCGCTCTGCAACGTGTTATTTTGAACACTTGTGAAAATAGGATCAAGAGTTTCGGTATTCTCGGTGATTATAGTTGGTTTGGTAATTACACTGACACAGCCATATGTTGCTAGTAGAACAGTTGAATCATTTTAGGCATAGTATTAAATATCATAAAAATGCTTTAATCACCTCCAATAAGTTCTGTAAATTTGTTTTCACTACGAAATCCCAGAAGCGTCTCAAGGATATCAAAAAAATTTGAAACGTTGCCATCAGGTGGGCGGTAAAAAACGAAAAAAAGAGTATTATCTGTCAAGGAGGACAAAACTTGATAATCACTAGTTCCAGCGCAGAAACGGGATAAAAGTTGACGAACCATGCTTTATTTAATTAGTGTATACACACCTCCACCACGACTAGTAGTGCGACTCAAACAATAAGTACTGTAGGGTGGGAAATTAAAAACATCCTCTTCACCAGGATACCAGGTCTTAGGAAGCATAGCCACATTGAGAAAGGAATTTCAAACTGACCGAACGGACATTCAATGTCAATCTTCTTATTTCTTGCTGACCGTGAATTTTAGTGAAAAATCTATATTGAACTTTCAATGAACCGATCTGAGCACATCTCTTGAAACGCGGAATTACGCATATCTGAAATGCAATTGTTGATGAATACCTCTTGAAACGTGGCTACCTGCTAATTTTTATTCAAAGCACGCAGAAACAGATGCACCGAGGCAGGAGTGAAAAGCAGATACCTACAAAGTTGGTGTTGTGGCCATTCTATAGACCTTTTTCGCATAACCTCAAACCAGCCAGTAACTGACGTACCCTCGACCTGGTGCATTTTTGGATTACCCGCTGACACAGGGTATGCAACCGCCAAGGGTATGGGCGAAAAGGCTTAAAAACATACGTCGTGCATGAGTTAGTTGCGAGTGCTCCTTTTTACCGTACTGCAATTTCCAAAAATCTACGGTTGTCTGGCTACCACTGCGTGGTCGATGTATAAATAATTTTAAAAAGCATAAGAACAATAGCAGCAAGTGTGCCATGAGCACAAGAAGCTGCAGCGCGAGTGTGGCTGCAATGTTATCGAGCTTCGCATTTTCCCCAAGAATCCTTATTTATGAAGTCAGTCGATAGCGAGCTTGAATCGCGAGAGATTCGTAGCAGAATCAACGTCACGTTTAAGCTCACGACCACTTCGTCTACAACAAGAGGACCGATTTTAATTCCCGGTGCAGGTGGTGCAATTAGGTTATCACTGCAAGCCCCATGGTATGTGAAAGGTATGAAAACGTTGACATGCCACCACTCAAGATGGAGTTATCAAATGTCGAGAGCTTACCTGCATAGACTACATTAAACTGCTCATATATACTTCGCTGTGGAAACTCAATCAAAACACTCCACCGTCTTCGTCCTCGTTCTCTCGAGGAGGCAAGGTGATGGCCTGGGAGTAGCCAGCTGGATTCAACCGGACAAGCTCCAACCAAGTGATTGCAGCCCACCATAGCCAAGTCTAGCCAAGTTCAATCAATCAATCAATCAATCAATTTTT